CTGTGGAAGGTGAGCAGGATAGTTTGAGTGGTTAAAGAGAGACTGGGGGTGGGGGGGAGTGAGGAAGTGGAGACAAGGAATATAGCCAACTCTTTTAGCTGTGAAGGATGGGGTCTAAGAAGAGTTTTGTTTTGTATGGCATGCTTATATGATAATTAGCTCACTGAGAAATATTTTTATTAAGATAATCTCATTGAAAGAGACAAATTGATGATTCCAGAGAGAGGGAGTCACTGCAGGAAGGAATTCCTTGGGTAGGTGAGAGGGGATGGGGTCCGGGACATGGGTGGGAGGAGAGAGCTCAGGAACAAGTCTTCATTGTAACAAGAGAGAACCTGCTATCAAATTTGTACTCCTTAAACTTATATAATATCATATGTCAATTATATCTCACTAAAGCTGAAAAAAATTGCAACCTCAAGTTAGGTGGTCAAATATGGGCTGATTATAACAAGGAAGGGGAAGAAACTTCAGGGGACAAAATCAGCTTAAACTTTATCACATCAAAATGTCACATACTTGTATTTTGCATCAAAATGAACATCTAAAATTAAATTTAAAATTATTCTGGAGAACCCTGTAATCCCTGAGAACATATATGCAGACCCCAGGGGTACTTGCATTCTGATTAAAGAGAAACTGACTTCTGGGGAATTTAAGGGGAAATCTTACCTAAACAACACACATACAAAAAATGTACCTCTGACCTCTTTCGTTATAATTTTTGTGCCCAAATGTTGTGTTGAGAAGCTTATTAAGTTTCTTTGGTCCACATCTGAGAGTAATTAAACTCTTTATTACCCAGCAAAGAAAGATAAAGAACCCAAGTAGAAAGCAATAAACTAGCACACAAGGGACCTTGGCCTGGGGCGGTGATGCTGGAGAAGGTTAATTCCTTTCTCTGTTTTCTCATCAGTAAAATGAAGGATGAGGTAATTAACATCCAGTCTTGCTTTTAACCCTAAGCCCTATGAGTACTCTGTTCTGGAAACTTGGCGCTAGGTGGGCAATCCTTGATGTGGGGCAATGTGAGGGAAGGGTGCAGACACACACCGGCCGGAGTTACTATGTGAGGACTCTAGAGAGTGTCAAAGGGGACCCTGGCTTTCTGGGGAAAGGTGAGGAGTGTTAATGTCACCATTTTGTCTGCAGGTCTAAAGAACTCGTAACTAAACCCAGTCAAAGTCCACTTGTCTGAGTTTCACTTTTCAGAGGATTGCAGCTGATAGAAGGTGAACACACTATTCTGACTGGAATTTGATTTGCAGAGTGGGCCTCGGGGATTTGGCTCGCTGTTCAGCTTGGGTGAGGCAGCACAAACCCGCCCTCGCCCAAAGCCCGGGCACAGGGCTGCCTCCGCCCCATCTGGCTGCTCCGCAGTTCTCGGGTGGGTCAGCACCCCAGCCTTTGACCTGCCTTTGGACACCTGTGCTTGGATGAAAGGTACATCTAAGACCGAGTGAGGATACCCAGCAGCGCCCGGTTTCCCCCTGAAGGAGAGAGTGAGACACGTGAGTGGGTTGGAGAGTCCCCAGTGGAGGACAGCCTGGAAGTTGGGGAAGAAGGCTAAATTGAGGAAGTAGGGCATAATAAGCTCAGCGCTCGGCAGTCACTGCCGCTTGTCCTAACACCTCCCGCTTGTACTTTATACTCATCCCCACTGTACATTTTTCAAAGTGCTTGTGTGATTCTCACAATATTGCTGTGAATCAGGCTGGGTGAGGGAGGGGCACTAGATAATATTCAGAAACCCAGGATCACATTATTGGTTTGTCAGGCGTGATGTTGTGCTTGTGTCTCTGAGCGTTGGTTGCCTTGTCTGTCACATGGTGATGATACAGCTGGACAAATGTGAGGAATAATTGTCTTTATCAGAGAGGAGAGATTGGAGAGGTTCAAGAAAGTACGGTGAGATTCTCAAGGTCACAGAACTAAACACAAAGTCACCTTGTCTCTGAGAATTCTTATTTTACTTGGCTTTCTCTATATAAAAATGTATTGTTTTAACATGGGATTAACTGTATCTGTTTTTGAAGTTATATAAATATATAAACTTCAAACCTTGTGAACTGACTTAATTTACTCTCACCAGCTAATTACTGTGGTTATTTGGCATTTGAAAATTTAAGTTTTGAGGAATTTTTACTTAAAAAAAAACTCTAATGACCCATGACATGTAGTAATTTGTAATTTTCTTTGGTGTGAATTTTAATAGTGTATGCACAGATCTTGAAATTCAGAATTGTCATTCACCTAACCACGACTTATTACATCTTAACACTAGTATTTCATCCAGAAACTTAAATGAAACATCGGTTTCTGAGAATTTGTGTCACATAAACATATTAGATCATATCTCATGACAATATCAAACTTTCCCATATTGTACATCAATGGCAGTTTCAGAAGACTCTTGCCTACATTGAAATGGTAAAATAGAGACATTAAAAATGCTTATAATTAAAATGCTTTGTTTCAAATTTACCCAAAAAAAGTCCAGTTATTTATTTACAAAAAATGTGTCAAAGATTTTCAGCACGTTGACAGCTGGTTGTGTCTGGCAGTGTCTGGCAGTGTTTTTCCTCAGCACCAGTGACGCGTTGGGCAGGATAATTCTTTGCTGGAGGGGCTTTCCTGTGCATTCTAGGATGTTTAGCAGCATCCCTAGCTACCACCTATGAGATCTTCCCTCCCCTGTTGGGACAGCCAAAAATGTCTGCCAAATGTCCTCCAAGGTCAAATCTGCCGCCTTCCCCATCAAGAACCCCCGTCTAAGGCAGTTTTCTCCTCATTTATACTCGTTCATAAATCTCTCTCTGAACACCCATGATGGTTAAAATGCATTTTCACAACTTTCTTCAAAAGATTAATTGATTTGGGGCAATTTTTTTCTAGAGTGCGTTTGTCGGTTCCCCCTCTGCTTCAAAATAAAAGGCCTAAAGGAACACAGACCTATAAACTGGTTTGTAGCAAGTGTGGGTCCTTCTTAGTTCCCAGGACTGAGCGATGGTGCTTTGCATGGGCTTGGCGGTGCTTTGCTCTGTGCTCTTACTCGATGGGAAGAAATGTTTCTCCTTTTCACAAGGGAAGTCAAGGAGGCATCAGTCATTTCCCTCAGTCTACAGGGAAGTGACGGATACGTTTCAAAGTGCTCAGCCTCATTTTCATATAAATGTTTTAATGCTCTTTCAGATCTAGGCATTGTGACTGGGCTTCTATCAGTTTCCTTAGAGGTATTTTGATGAAAGCATGCATCATTTTTTAAAGCAAATAGAGTCATAACAGAGTAAAAACAGTCTCCTGAGCCACTTGATTCAGTCTCCATTTTGATGACTGGTGATTTCCCCTGCCCTATAAAATCCTGCCGGCATTAGTTTCTAGAGACAGAAAAGCATTAACCAACTTACCATTGCTCCTGAGCACGATCCTTTACTCGTAGTGAGGCAAGTTTTCTTTCAGTAATTATTCAGATAGAATAATTCTCAGACTTCTTTCAGTCTGAATTTTTCAGTTTTCGAAACGAAAATTAGTGTTCTATTTTTGTCCTTGTAGTTTAATAACGTTTTAGCTGTTGTTGATGAAAAACATCCAGCCTAAGAGAAAACTTTTAAGAGTTTATTTAAGCCAAACTGTCGACAATTGCCGGGAAGCAAAATCTCAACGGATTGAGAAAATGCTCCTCAAAATGACGGTCTGCAGCTTATTTTATTCATTTTGTATTTTTTTAGCTGAGCCATTCTGCCACCTGTTGGCAGCTCAGCTCGGGCTGGGAATCAAACCACTGTTGCTCAGAGCTCACATTCTTGAGCGAGCTCTTAACCAACTGAGCCACTGGGCAGGCCTTTTACAGACTATTTTATACATAAAATCAAAGGAGGAAGGTTAAGTGAAATCCATGGGTGACAGATTAAGGGGGTAGGAAACAGCAAAGTTGGGAAACCTCTGGGATTGGATAAAAGTAAATTGGAAAGACAGATACTTCCTTTACATAGGTGGATGCAGGATAGTTAGCTTTTTTACAGCACAAAGAGATGGTAATCAGGAGATAAGCATGATAACAGGAATTTTGCAGTTTCCAGCTCTGGTGCAGAAAAAGGATTACTGACATTCCTAAAATGTTATCTTACCTGCAGAAAAAACAGAGGCCCACTGAAAAGGCACAGACTAACTTTATGAAGGAAGCTAAAGATGTGACTTCCCACCATGGCCCACTTGGTTATGAAAGGTTTTTTTTGCCCACGCCATCTTATGTGGTTATTTTCAATCTCCTGAGCTTGTCAGGTTTAACCTGTGGCCCCTTTTCCATCCACACTGTGCAGAAGTGTTTTTATAATGCTGGTACAAAGGGCGTGTTGGTTTTGCCTATCTCTGCCTATTTCTTTGATTCATTCTTATGTGTCTTCAAGGTGATACTGAAAGACCATTTAGGGTTATTTCCTTGGCAATCTCCTTCTGTAGCACCATTTCCACTACTCATTTCTTTACTTTCCAAGACACCCCCTTGCCTCTGGGTTCTCCTGAGGCACTAATGATGGAGGGTTTCCTGGCTGCAGCGTGAGGATACAGAGCCTCCCTGCTCATCCCTCTACAACTAGGAAACGCCAAGTGAGGAAGGAATTTGCAGGCGGGACTGGGAGAAGGATGAGGAAAAATGTTTGATGCCTGCTCTGTCATTTCTGCATGCTCAGAATAGATGGAACTAAGGAGAATTTTTAAAATGTAAATATTATTGTCCCTTTAACTCAGGTGAGCTTTTTATTTCCATCAGAATTCTTCCTTCAGGCCTAAAACATAGCTTAAACTACAACACATCAGTAAGGGGTCAGAAATGGTTGATAACTGCTGAGAAATGGAGCCAAGTCTATTCTGTGGTTTGATTGTGAAGATGTTGATTCCTCGTTCTGACCACAGGACCCCTGGACACCGTGGAGTGTGCTTGAGGTCTTGCATTCTCATTTAGGTATGGTCGTGTTTTTTCTCTTGTGTTTGCTCCAGGGAGGATGGTGGATTTTCCAGGATACAGTCTGTCAGGTGCAGTTGCCTCCTTCTTCTTTGTACTGCTCACCATGAAGCACTCAGGTAGGATTCCCTTCTTCCCTTCACTGCCCCAGTGTCCCAGAGATCTGGTGCAGATGCAGAGGTCTAAATTCAAAAGGGCTAGTACAGTATTAAGAGTGGGGGTCCAGGGGCCAAAGCATCTGTGTTCCAAAAAGGGCTCCTCCACTTCCAGCTGTGTCACCTGTGGACAGTTACTTGAAGATCTCCTGCCTTAGAGTGCTCATCTCTATGATAAGAATAACTACATGCCTACATCTCAGAGGCTAGCACAGGCTTTCAGATTAAGTGAGGCTGTACATGGAAAGCACTTGAATCACACGTGTGACACGTTACATGATTCAGCTGCTCTCCTGCGTATGTTCAGGACAGCATTTTGGGGTCTAGAAAACTGGCTGCTTTGTGCTATAAACTAAATAGCATAAAACATACTTGGAACTAAGAAACTAGAAAAAGAGACTTCCAAAAAACGGACTTGGAAACCTCAGTAGCCGAATTTTGTTGGTCAAAATATCGTACCTTGGAAAAGGATTATGAAAATGCAATGTCAGTGGGTAATATCAGGGCTCTAAGGAATATGCAGTACGGTGAAGTGGGGAAAGCCCGGGGCAGGGCATTGGAAGGCACAGGCTCCAGACGGAGAGCTGCCGGGACTATGTGATGTGCTGAGGCTGCGCGCCCCTGTATGCAGCGCATTTTCCCAGCCTGTAACAGCAGTCAGCTGATGGTATGACTGCCGTCCTGGCTTCATATTTAGACTCCATCAGTGAGGAATACAAGCAGATCTCCACTTAAGTTCCACAGCGACCTTCTGAGCAGCACCTGTGGAGCAACAGCTAAACAAGGCGAGGTTTCTTCTGAGGAGGATTGGATCTGCACGGAGAAAGCGCAGGCGGCCCTGGGACATTGTAGGATGGGAAAGACATAATATGCACCATGTATGAAGTTAGTAAACAAAACAGCAAGCAGAATTGTTAAACGTCTCTTCAGTTTGCAGATAACTACAAAGAAGTCAAATATGACTCAGAATTTGACTGGAAGGCTCAAACCCTCTAGACAAATCACTGCCCTCAATTCACCACAAAATGTCCTTGTAGAAACTTCATTGTACAATAACCCCAGGAACTGGAGTCTTACTTGCTCCAGACAAAGAAAGAGAGAGAGAGAGAGAGAGAGAGAGAGAGAGAGAGAAAGAGAGAGAAAGCTCAGTCTTTTTACCTAGGACAAAAGCAATCTTGAAAAGTTGAAAAATCTATTGAATAAATTTATTGCCTAATTTTAAGAAAAGTGATTATAAAGTCAGTCACTAACAATATAAAGTGAAATCACTATAAAATATAAAATAAATCACTAATAAAGTTCCCAATTAAGGGCCGGCCGAGTGGCTCAGTTGGTTAAGAGCTCGCTCAAGAGTTTGAGCTCTGAGTAACAGCGGTTTGATTCCCGGCCGGAGCTGAGCAGCCGCTGAGCTGCCAATAGGTAGCAGGATGGCTCAGCTAAAAAAAAAAAAAAAAAGTTCCTAATTAAAAATGGATTTACACATTAACTTTTTTGAAAATAAAAATAACCCAGAGATGATAGTAGTATCTTAAAGATGAAGAAATCGAGATTTCAAACTTCAAATCTTACTGAAAATAATAAATATGTTCCCAAATCACGTATCTGGTGACAGTCTTGACACTGACACTCACAGTTTTGAATTGCATGTTATTTTCAGTACCCAAAATTGTCTCTGTAACAGCCAAATGTGCAAATCATCATGCTGAGTCTCTCTAAATCATTGTAAATAAAGCCCTCCCTCATCCAGGTGCCTCCTTTTGGATAGGGTTAGGCATTCCAAAGCAAGCATATTAATCTTCCAGTTGGCATTTCCTGCTTCCTCTTTTTCACTTTGTTTTGTAGATTACTTCAGAGTGATTGGTCCTGCCCATCCTATTCTGGCCAGGGTTGGGGAAGATGCCCTGCTAAGCTGTCAGCTCCTCCCCAAAAGGACTGCCATGCACATGGAGGTGAGCTGGTACCATTTGGAGACCGGCACACCTGTGTTGCTTGCACGCCGGAATGGAACTGAGGTGACCAAGGTGCAGATGGAGGAGTACAGAAGCCGAGTAGAGTGGATAGAGGATGACATCACCAAGGGAGGTGTGGCTCTGAAGATGTACAACATCCAACCATCTGATAACGGGCAGTACTGGTGCCGTTTCCAAGAGGGGAACTATTGCGGAGAAACAAGCTTGCTGCTCAAAGTAGCAGGTGAATATCTGGGAGAAGACATAGGTTCTCAGAGGGAGAAGTATATTAATTTGTGGTAAGCTTATTGCAGGTTGAAGAACTCCCTTTAATCATCAAGGCAATTCCTAATGTCCTGCCCTCATTCTGATTCATTTGAAAGCAAGCAGTAATGAAGTCCACAGAGCAAGCTCACATAAGCAATATTCCCACATTTAACTTAAATAGTTTTGACTATTCTTGACAATTATTTGAAAACCACGACATGTGGTTATTAGCAATTTTGCTGAGAGATGAATTTGTGCCACATAGGCTGGAGTGCAAGGGCCAGTCAGTTACGAGTGAGTCTAGCTGACTGCCCAGCATCCATATCTCAGTGGAGTCGATTGTTCTCTACCCACAAGCAGATGTGCAGTAACTGAGACACGAACACCTCGTTCAATGCCTGCAGTTAGAAAGCTAGTGGTGAGACTAAAGAAGTAAGAGCAATGTGCTTTTATGGAGATTATCATGAACTGTGTTCAGTGAGCTGCGGACCCAAGGATGCTTTTGGACATACCGTGAATGACCATGTTCTGCATGATGCTTTGTATTAGCAAAGCAGGAAGGAGTCAAGAAGAAGGGGCTCACTGAAGAAAAGGTCTGTCTTAAGGAAGAACGAATATCTGAAAAGTAAACTGTCGTATGGTTCCCTGGCAGGAATAACTCCTCCGTGTGCTAAAGCAAACATCAGGCAAATCCATTTGCCTTATCAGAGAACTAGTTCTCTGAAGATGTTAACAGCCTTCGCCAATATGTCTTCCTCTTTATGTCTTCCCATGAGGCCACTTCCCAACACCTTTTTTATTAACACACATAACAATGATTGTTATTATTATGTTCAAGGTGATTCAAGATGGATGAAAGAATCCTTGTATTTCTGAGATGTGGAGATGGGAGGGCACATACTAAGACATTTCTATATCAGGAACATTTGAAAATAAGCCACACATTTTCTAAGGCTCTAGGTGAAGGGAGTGGGTCTCTGTTCCCCAGCAAGTGACAGAGACAGAATCACCATTTATGGAAAATACAGTCCCCTTTGTTTGAGTTTGAGAGCTGTGCTGAATATAGAAAGAATTTAATGATTATATAAAACTAGGATGTCTCAAAAACATTTTCCCATTGAATGGAATATTTAGATACAGGAGCTCCTCATGGAACTTCCAATTTTACACCCCAAGATCACAACCACCAACAAAATGAATAGGAAGAATAGTCCCCATGAAGGAGATTTCTTACTTGATATTAAGTATTCTATTTAAATTGGATTCAAGGTGTCATCCAAAATGTCAGACAGCGTGTCTGATACAATAATGTTAAGATGAAAAATACAGAGTTCATGGCATGGGGAAGTTCATGAAAAAATTATAACACATCTTTGTTTACAGTACTAGAGACATAAGCAAAATGTCATTACCTCCTTTTCTCTTATTCTCCTGTCTGAATCCAAAGAAAAACACTGTTCGTGTACTAAAATCTAAATATCCAGACAGGGGATAAAATGCAGTGTATGTGAACTCCAATTTGAATGGGAAGAAGACTTTGGAATGGTTTTTGCCCCCCCCCCCAGACCTACCCTCTCCCTATGGGCAATGTCACTGGGGTCAGTCTCCATGGGCTGCGGACTCAGGCCTCTGTCTTCCCTCTGCAGGTCTGGGGGCTGCCCCTCACATCCACATGGAAGGATGTATGGAAAGCGGAGTCCAGCTTGTATGCACTGCAAAGGGCTGGTTCCCAGAGCCCCACGTCTACTGGGAAGATGTCACGGGAGAGAAGCTGCTGGCTGTCTCTGAGTATCAAGTCCAAGATGAAGATGGCCTGTTCTACGTGGAAGCCACACTTACAGTCAGGAGTGCCTCTGCAGAGACTGTGTCCTGCTTCATCCACAACCCCATCCTCGCTGAGGAGAAGGGCTCAGTCATCTCCATCCCAGGTGAGCGCCTGCCTCTAGGACCAAGATGTTCAGGCTAGCAGGAAAGCTTCCAGGACTGTTCCATTGCACCTAATTTTTTTTTTATCAAGAAAAATACCTGCAACAACATGGGTGGACCAAGAAGGTGTTATGTTAAGTGAAATAAGGCAGAGAAAGACAAATACTGTACTATTTCCCTTATATGTGGAATCTAAACTAAACAAATGAACAAACAAAATAAAACAAAAGGACTCATAGATACAGAGAACAGACTGATACTTGTCAGAGGGCTGGGCAGTCGGTGGAATGGACAAAAAAGATGAAGGGGATTAAAAGGTGCAAACTTACAGTTATAAATAAGTCATGGGGGTATAATGTAAAACATAGGGAATATAGTCAACAATATCATTATAACTTTGTACAGTGACAGATGGTTACTATACTTCTCATGGTGATCACTTTATAAGGTATATAAATGTCAAATCACTATATTGTACACCTTAAACTAATATATTATAATATTGTATGCCAACTATACTTTAATTGAAAAGAACTTCATATTCCAGAAAAAAAGGAAAAATATCTAACATTTAGTAATATGTGTTAAAATCTATAAAACATTTATGACTGAAAAATATATACTACATTTTAATTGAATAGTTATTGCTAATGGTAGTCCAGTTATTTTCAAGTTCAAGATTCTTTAATCACAAATATGCATCACATTGTAAAGAAAATAAAACTATATTCTTTCAATGGAAATGTTTTCCTATGCTGTATTGTGCTGATTACTTCCAGGAACCTATCATATGAAGATAGTCAAAGGTGGCGAAAACTATTTATATAATAGCATTTTAATTATAGCTTCATAGATAAATAGCAGCAAAAACAGCAGCCACTAAAATAGTGAAGTTTAAGTGTCTTATGTTACTATAAATTATATTGTAGCATTGATTAAAAATTATATTTTCAAATAATTTTAATATTTGAAAAAATCCTCATGTTGGGTTATTTAATGATAAAGACTACATGTATCTATCGATCATCTATCTACCTATATATCTACCTATCAACAGACATTTCTAATCATGTAAAGATTTTTTGCTTTAAATAACTTACAACTGCACCAAGATGTTTGTGACACCATCTATATTTAGATATAAAGATATAAATATATAGTTATTCTCATTATAAGTGGATATAGAAAAAATTAAGCTTTATATATTAATATGAAAATGAGCCATAGATTATATAGATATAGATAGATATAGATATCGATATAGATATAGATACAGATAGATATACACACACATACATACATACAACAGGGGAGCCAAAAAAATGTATACAAGTGGACACTTTGGTCAACATTGCTCAAGCAGTAGTTCATTGTAATCAGAAGTGTCTGGACAATGATAACCAATTTTAACACCTCTTGTAATTGCAGAAGTCAAATGTGTATTCATCTTTTGTTGTCAGTATATATTGAGTATCACAATTTTAATACAGTTTTCCTTTCTTAAAATGTGCATACTTTTTTGGCACTATTTATATATATTTTTTTCTTTTTGCAAAAAAAAAATATATACACACACACACACATGTGTGTTTTATCTCTCAGTTCGCTCAGTTTGGAATTATAGATGATAACTGTCTCTGTCCATAATGTTTATACTTTCTGTGAATTGATTAAAAGAATACGTATTATTTTTATAAGATACTTAAATATCAATATGTTAAATATCAGAAGCAAACAGAATTATGGGGTGGTAGAACCGAGAGCAGTTTTGTTGTGCAGACAAAAGGAAAAACAGCTGGACTAACAGGTGATCCGTGGGAAAGAATCAATATTTTCCAGCATTTATTTTCTTTTTATGAGTCAAACTTTCCAATAAAATGTAGAACTTGCTTTTGTCATTTTTAATATTTTGTCTTATTTCCCTTAGAACAAATTGCTTAATATATTTTTCTCGTTCTTTTCCCAGAGAAAGTCCAGACGGAGCTAGGTAAGTAGAGCTGGCAGCAAGCGCGAATGTAGACGAGCCTCTACGCCCACCAGGGGGAGACAGACTCCCTGGTCCACGCGAGCTCTACTACCGCGACACCTCGTGATCCCCATGAGAACCCGAAGCCTGACTTTCCCAAGTCTCAGGTTCAGTGTCACCGGCCACTTTCAGTGTTCACGTCGACTCCAGTGAACTTCAGATGGACGCCAGTAAGGGGCACAGACATAATCTTTGCCCTACTGGGCGAAGGAAAGGGAGCTGCCTCAGAGTAGGTAGGGGATGGCACAGGACCTCTGGCAGGGCTCTGGGGGCCCTTTTAAAACATGTCCAGTGTGAATGAGGGCAGTGTCATCATGCTAACTAGAGGTGAACCCCCACCTCCACACCACCCCCACACATACACCCCCGGCCCTGCTATGGTTTCTGCACCTGCTCCTCACCCCGTAGGTGCTAACCTCATCACTATTGAGAGGTTGCTTTCCCAGATGCAGCCAGAGCTAATGATTTTCCTGTTTTGTTTTGTATTTTCTTAATAGTTAGACTGCAGGAATTATTTTACTGTACCTAAGAAAAGCGGCTTAAAAAATAACCAACTGATATTTGAAACTTTGATTTCTCCTTTACCTCCGTACCTTCTTCCTCCGTTCTGTGACCTCTCCCAGCCCATGACAACCAGCCTGTTCCCTAACCAGGTGCATATGAACTTGTATCACTTATTTTCTCTTCCATCAATACCCTGCTGTCCCTCAAGTCACCTGTTACCGGAGTGTGCATGTGTGCGTGTGTGTGCACATGCATGCACATGTTAGGTGAGCTTAAACACACTTTTCAGCCCATGTAGGATTTTTTTTTTTTTGAGGAAAATCAGGGTGGCAAACACATCCCAATATCTACTGGAGTCTAGTGTGAGACTTTCGATTCCATTGGACCATAAAAGGGAAGGACCTCAGGCAGGTCAAATGTAACTCTATAATCTGCGGAGAGCTGCACACCTGTGAGTCTTACCTTCCAAGTCGGACCGGACCCCCTTCTGCCTGGGGCAGCATCTGCTCGTGATCAGACAGAAACCTTAACCAGCAGAGCTAGTTTGTTACAGAGGAGAAAACCAAAGGCAGGTTGACGCATGTCTCTGTTCACTAGGAAGATTTTAGGTAAAGAGGCATCTGAGCCAGCTTGATATGTTCATGGAGACCCAGCACACAAAATGCAATCTGATATCATGTAGTTTCTCAGTTGTGCTGACCTTCTGGGACCACAGTGAAACAAATGAAAAGACAGAGCTTCCCTTGGCTCCCTGTCAGGTGCAGGGAGGAGGGCTGTGCCCTCAGGAGCTTTGAGGGTGTGCTGTTGACTGAGACCGGAGCTTCACAGCCCTCTGTTATTCTCATGAACTATAACTCAGAGGCCAGGACCCACCACAAAAGGCTGCTGGCAAACAGCTCACCGTGGATGTCTTGAGACCAAAATCCCAGCTCCCACGATGGCAAATGATGTTACTGGTTTATAAAAATAATAACTAGTTCTTTGAAATATTAATTATATGCCCAGTACTATGCTAAATGCTTCACAAGAACATTTTTTTCTTATGGTAATTATAAAGGTTAATAGATTTATCACTCTATCTACAGTTGGGAAACAATCTTAGAGGCATATGTGGTTTGCCAAAAACCACCAAGAAATTGTGATGTTTGCTTTCTAATCTATGTCTGACTTAAGAGTGCAAGTTCTTACTTATTTCAGTAAATCATTGGTCCCAATTTTTCTCATCTTTAAAATGAACATGTTGAATTTAATCTCTAAGGTACCATCGGGTTCTAAGAGTCTAGATATGATTTAATGTAATGTAATGTAAATTATATAAGTAACAATATAATATACATAACATAATATAATATAATTTAGCATGTTTGGGGAATGAGATAGCCCACTTAATTGAATATGCTGATTGAAGGAGGATTATATGATATGATGATGAGCTTATCAGGTTTCAAGGAATTAGTGTATAAAGTTGGTGTACTTCACACTCCAGAAAGGATTTATTTTTTCAGTCGTTATTCAGAAGGCATTTCAGGAGCAGACATTCAATACTCAAAAATAGAACAATAAATGTGAGCATAAATTGTGTATAAGGCTGCGTGCAAAACTGCATAGAAAAAGGAGATTACACAGAGCTGCTCTTGAGGGGCTCCTATTTGAGTAGAACACCATTATTAATGAATAGGGCTGCGAGATTTTTTCCCAGTACTTTAAACTTTATTTTCACTTGGATTCTGGAAAAACAGGAGTTTCATATATCTATAACACACCTAATCAATTAAATCTCCAAACTTACATTTTTCTTTTTTTAGGCTCCATTAAAATCTATTTTAGCTCTTAATTAACCCATGCCTGGCAGGGTAATTTGGTTGGATATGTACCAAGGGCCATGAATAGGGGAGAAAATCCCCATGTGGGCGACAGGGATGTTTTCCTAACAGTCTGTTTTGCTACGTAATTCACTGTAAGACACATGAATGGAGAAAAAGCAGCAAACTGACCCATAGGTCATTTTTTCCTGACTCTTCTTTTTAGATTTTAACAGATACATATAAAATGGAGATAATATTGTTTTAGGTAAAATTGAAAGACAAAGAAAATGAAATGCTGGAAATAACTGGAAGTCAAATTGTAGCTAGAATATAAGGGAATAATCTGAAAATTAGAATTGTGTTGACAGAGATTTTTTTTCTAGAGAAATACCTAGCAGATTTTGAATAATTGCACAGTGAGGACATTTTGGTCATTGACTCGCATCCAGACAATATGCAAATTTATGCCTGTATTTCTATTATAAATGATCATAACATATGTGAAAGCATTCCTACCATTTGATGAAAAAGAATGACTCTCAATTTAGAATAGAGCAAAACTGATTTGGCCAAGGGCTTGCTGAGAACCGGAAGTGGATTCAGGAAAGCTGTCAGAGAAAAACTTCCATTCTCTGCAATGGCAAAAGCAGGCTCCTTTTGTGTCTTCATCATTGTTTTGCATTTTGTATTTGGCTAACCTCCCCAATTCTTGATCTCATTTTTCTTAAAATCATCTGAGGACATTGAGCTGGTGTGTGTTTAGAACCCTATGTATGTGGGTCCTTGGGGAACTGAAATATGATGGCTAGATCAGACTTGTAAGATATAAAATCAAACCAGGGGAAGGTTTCTTCACATTTCATGACTAAAAATCCACCTGAGACTCATCTTCATCCACTCCCCATTACCAAGACAGAGGGTGGGATTTGCTCCATAGCCCTCTAGTCTCAGTGTATACACGTCCATGCACACTGCATGGTAATCCAAGAGTTTTAGATAGATTATTTTAACTCCAGAACAACCTTATGATTTTGATAATGGTATATTTGTTTCATAGTTTGAGAAACTGAGGCATACATCAATTGAGAAGTTGTTTAAGGTCATGCAGATTTGAAGTGATAAATATTAATTTTATTCTAGGAGTTTTAATTGCAAAATTATTTTATTGGCCTGTAATCTGAATAAAATTACAGTTACGGGCAGGTGAGGGTTCCGTTAGTGATCTTTTTCAGACTGGCACACCTAATGGGATGGTTCTGCCTTTGAACAGGGACAACCTCTATCTTGATTACACCAAACTTCCGCATCTCCAAAAGGTGACCTTGAACTTCAGAACTCCCCTGGGGTGCCCATGGGTCCTTAAACCCCACTCAGGATGTTCTTGCTGATGACACAATTTGCTCCATTTTGAGTCTTTCGTTGTTGTTGTTGTTGTTTTTTCTGTTGTCTTTAATAGCTTCCTTAAAAGTGATTGGACCTCCCCAGCCCATCCTGGTCAGAGTGGGAGAAGACATACAATTAACCTGTTACCTGTCCCCCAAGGCTAATGCACAGAGCATGGAGGTGAGGTGGGTCCGATCCCACCGTTATCCTGCTGTTTATCTGTATGTGGATGGGGACCATGTGACTGGAGAGCAGATGGCAGAGTATAGAGGGAGGACAGCATTGGTGACTGATGCCATCGATGAGGGGAAACTGACCCTGCAGATACACAGTGCCAGAACTTCAGACGATGGGCAGTACCGCTGCCTTTTTGAAAAAGATGGTGTCTACCAGGAAGCCAGTGTGGATCTGAAGATAGTAGGTAAGGATTCTAGAGAGATATTTTGAATTCAACATCAGTTCCAACTGTTTTAATATTGTAGTTCCTGAAAAATTTTTCTGGAACCTGAAATTTTCTTAATGTCCATTCACTCATCAAATTTATATTGAACCCTCTGATGTACAAGAACTGTTGTATGTACTTAAAGACTATGAACTCAAATAGACCAATTTTTTCTTTGGGTATAGAATTTGTATCCTTTCTAGGATCTCCAAAAAGTGGCCATACAATTAGTAAAATTTGAGGATTTTACTCTATAACTTTATACAAAGCTCATTATTTCACAGACTGTTATTAAAATTATGGGAAATGTGTAGTTACTAGGAAATGTAATGATTTGAAGACTAAACTAGGTCCACATGTAAACAAAAATAATAAGTACTGACAGAATTGGCAAGATGGAGGAAAGACAAAATATCTCCCTGCATCATAATTTCCCACTGTCTACATTTGTGAGTGAGAATTGATTTTTCCAAGGCTAGCAAATGCCATTGAAAATATAGGCTGACATCTTGGATATGCTATTTGTTTCCCCCATTAATTTTGTGTCTAAATTAATAAATATATTTAGGAAATATCTGCAGGAGCACATAGTGTGATGTTAAATGGACTCCATCATTTTCTACCATTGAACATACATATTTATAAGATTTTGATCTTTGAGCCCAATATCTTACTCACTTACTCACATAACCATGTGATCCATGCCATGGTCAAAGTTATTTTGTTCTCAGTTATTGAAGAAAAAAAGGTTGAATTTGAAATTTATTGTATCCCTTAACTTGTCCCTCAATGATTTTAAAAATACAAAAGAAATAAATAAAAATAAGGAAACAAAACAAACTAAGAAATAGTTCTAGCTAGTCTCATCCCTAAGTGGAGCGTAATTTCCCCGATAAGCTTTGCTCTCTTGCCCAAGCCTCTGAATCCCCCTCTTTCCTCTCAGGGAAGTCACTGACCATATAGCCATTTGCAGAGACTCTACATTTTATGTCTTTATCCCCCAGGACTTGGTTCTTCCCCACTGATCACCATGGAGGGAATGGAAAATGGAGAAATACAGCTTATGTGCACTTCAGAAGGGTGGTTTCCCCAGCCCCATGTGCATTGGAGGGACACAGAAGGAAAGGCAATCCCATCATTTTCAGAGGTCCTGACTCAAGGCAGCCATGGACTGTTCCATGTGGAGGCATTTCTGTTGGTCACAAACAGCTCTGTTGTGAATGTGACCTGCTCCATCAGCAACCCGCTTCTTGGGGAGGAGAAAATGGCAACTTTTTCTCTCTCAGGTTGGTGCTTCCATATGTTCCTCTCGACTTTGGGAAATAAATATGAAGACCAGCCCAGACTTACTATATTGCTCTTCTATTTTCTAATTTTTTGTGTTCATCTCTCTGATGAGATTTCCTGCTATCTCTTGCAAAGCTGGTCTTCAGGACGCCTAGGGATGTTAGTCCTGTGAGTTTCTCTCTGACGTCCCAAGCTGAAGCCCTAGGGTTATATTGTCATATACTAAATTCTAAGAATTGACTTTGTCATCATTGTATCTACAAGCTCTTTTCTTCTGATGTGAAAACAATGACATCACTTTGTTTTTTTTCCTCATGGTGGGTTTTCTTCTGGATTAGGAACTAATTTTCCTCAGCACCACCCTCATGGCTGTGGACTGGGTAATTTCGGTCTTTGCCACGCTCATTATTCCAGTGATTGTGGTGATATAACTGGAAAGAGAGGGGGAAGAAATGTGTGTGTGTGTGTGTGTGTGTGTGTGTGT